CTGGGGGTGGGTGGGGTTTTTTTCTTTGTTTTTTTACATGTCCCTGGTTTAGCAGATTTAGCAGATTTGAAATATTTCTAATATTTCAGCACTGCTATCTCAAAAGTCAGAAGTCTCCCAAGATAACTAACAGGGAGATTTAAATGCTTCTTTCCTTTGTAATTTTTTCTTTGAGGTAAACAAGCAAGTTTTAGAAGATTCCAAATTAAGACATTTGCTTAAATTCATATGATGTGCCAGGTAGTGTAAATTATACTCTCTTGCACTCAACTCTGAATTGGTTCAGGTGGCTAGCATGGCATTGTTCTTCATTTCCTGTGTAAACCAGATGCTTGGATGTACTGCAAAATTGTAAACTGTCTTATGAATGTCCTTTTCTGTATTAACCAAAAAAAGGGGTGGGATGGAAAAGTGCTATATTTGCTATCTTTTACTGGAGCCAATACCCTTTTCTCCAAGGATTTTTCTAACTTCTCAGGGTTCATGCCTGAGATGCTAATCAATCTCCTAAGGTGCTTAAACAGGAGTTAGCCAGGATTTAGGCATGTAAATTGCATAGAATTATTCATGTGTACTTGACTCTGTGGCTACTAGGGGTGTGCAAAACGGGCCATATTTGATTCAGATTCAGAGATTTGGCCTGAATCAGGGCACAGTGATTCGATTAGTTGATTTGGATCACTGTTTCAATTCGGTTCGACCGAATCCAAATTGGAAGATTTGGTGCTGATTCAGAGAATCAGCGATTCGGTCATATACACAGCTTTAAATGTTTTTTCTACATACCTCAAGGTACCAGGCAGCTCATGAATGATGAGATGCTGGGGTGGATGGAGCATCCCACAGGAGTGCACGGGGGTCCCCAGCATGCTCGGCAGTGGACCAGGCAGTAGACCAGAAGTACTTACGGTCCACTTCCGAGTCTGCTGCTGAGCGCACAGGCCACCCCTGCCCTGCATCCCACTGGCTCAGTGATCAGCCACAGGTGGACCCTGTGTGCCCCCTGGGACCCAGGAGGCACCAGTCACGGAGCCGGGGTGTTGGGGGGTCCCCCGCGCACTCTACAGCAGACATGCAAGTGGACTGGAAGTACTTCTGGTCCAGTTCCGGGTCTGCTGCTGAGCATGCTGGGAACACCCCCCCGTGCTCCCGTGGGATGCTTCATCTGCCCAAGCATCTCAGCCTTCACGAGTCAACTGGTACCCTGAGGTATGTAGAAAATACATTTAAAGCTGTGTCTATGTCTGAATCATTGAATCTCTCCGAATCAATTCAGAGGGTTCTGATTCGATTTGGAGAGATTAAAGGGTCTCCTGATTCAATTCAGATTCAGAGATTAGGCTGCTGAATTGGGCCGAATCTCTGCTGAATTGAATCAGTGACCAAAGCTTCACACAGCCCTCCAAGAATGATCAGGCACCTCCATTTTAGCCGTACAAGACCCTAAGTCACCCAGACTTGGGCTGCTGTGCATGCTTTAAAGTAATCCAGACCCGTCATCTTAGTGCTTCATTCCTACCACAGCTCTGTTGTGATCCAAATTTGCATAAACTCCTTGATTCCTCAGCAATGAGGCAAACCATACCAAGCTACTGTCAGAAGCATGGATAAAACTCAATAGAAAATGCCATTCCTCTTTTGCCCAGTACTGTAATGGCAAAAGCATTTATCCAGGAAGTTAATAGGTACTTTTGCCACTTATCCACCTCAGTCTGACTAACCTCAAACCCAGAAATCACATTTTCTGTGCAAGTGCTGAAACCATTGTGCTCTGGACGAGACTGGTGAAAAACTTCACCCTTCTGTGTAGGTGGTCCACTTGGTATGCAAGAGTGCAAGATTCATGGGGCAGAAGGGGAGCAAATAAAAGAGAGAATGTCTCTGTAGCATGGTAGTTAGGGCCCTTCTCCTGTAATGAGGAAGTAATGGTTCTAGCTTCTGCTACTAGAGTTATTCTGTTTTTAACCAATGCCTGTCTAATATAAAATGAATAAACAATCCACCCTTGCAGCCCTGAGTCTGATACCTAAACTTCAAGAAGGTCCAGAAGTTTAGATGCACCTCTAGGCCTTGCATTCCTATTGGCTTACTTTAAGTGCCTTCCTGCTAAGCAACTCAGCAATCTGCATTGCCCTTTAGGCTAAGTACAGGAAGACAAAAAGCCCAAGGCTGAATCGATTCAGGCTTTGCAGGTTAGTTTAAGCTGCAGATATTAAACTGAAAAGGAAGTGAACAGACATTCACTTTTGATTCAGGAAATGCAGCTACATGCCTGCAGTGGCTCAGGTCAGAAGCTGGGGGACACTAGAGCACACCTCCCAGCCTGACAGCCACTGCCAAAGGAAAGGGACTGAATCTCCAAAACTTTTACCCCCTCCCTGCTCCAGCAGAGGGGGCATGGCCAGGCCCTAGCCTGGGGCTAGCTCGCTGGAGAGTGGGAGTTTTTAAATCCCCTCCATGGCCCACAGGGCATCCCATATTGGGTCTGCCTGGGATGGGGGCAGTGCCTGCCAGGCTTCAGCCCTGTCCTTCCACCCTGCTTAAGGCTGCCAGGCTGAGGAGGGGGTCGGTAGGGAAAAAATGAGTGACATTCAATTCATAAAATCTTGAACATGAATAGTCCTTTCTTTGAAGCAAGCATGTATTGAACACAGAAATTTGCAACTTCAGGCACACAGTAAAGATCAACCAAAAATCTTTGCCTGAGCTAAGATACAACCCAGCGAAACACAGTGAGAGCACACATGACTTAGTTTAACTTAAATGTAAACCAAGAAGGCAAGAGAAAGCCTTGCATAAATCTTACATAATCATGAGGGCAGTGTCTCCTTACAGCCAGATATTCAAAGAGCCCTTCCTGGGGAATGAGCAGGTGGTCTAAGGTGTTGGAGTGGAGATCCCACAGCCCTCATCTCTTGAGCCAAAGAGTAGGGCATGGCCAGCACACTGAGCTGGGGAAGCGGATATTAAAGCCCCTCTTAAACCCCAGACTCTAGCTGGGGTTTGCCGGTGGGGGGCAGTCCCTCTCAGGCTCTTGCCCCCTGCCCTCTCCACTCCAGTGGGGAAAGTGTGGCAGGGGCTGCCACCTCCTCCCCGAGGCAGACCCAGCTGTAGTCCCCAGCCAGGTTTCCCACCCACACCCCATTGTGAGGCAGCCCTCACTGCTCCAGCTAGGGAACAGAGGGGTATGGCCAACCCTGCTCTCTCGAACAGACAGCACAACTCAGTCCAGGGCTGCAAAGCATGCTGGTATGCTGGGGGACTGTGATTTAACTTGAACCTGGAAGGGGTCTGGGACAGAAGTTTCATAAATTGGGTTGACCCAAATCAGTTAAGCTTGTTACTACATTCAACCAGGTTTATCTTAAACCAGTTTCAGCCACTTTGAAACTGGTGTATGTGCACTGAACTTTTGTTCTGTTACAGGTTTAAACCAGTGTCTGATCACTTAAACCAGTTTATGTACAACTTCTGTCCCTAGCCTTAGAGGTATGTATGCCACCCCATTCACTGTATAAAAAGTCTATACACCTAACCTGTCAATTAGGATATCCTTTTGTGGAAAGATGGCTACATTTTAGGTGCTTCAACTCTTAAGTGAAGGAACTAAAGAAGTTCATTAAGGCATGGTTCTAAGTTTATTACTGAGCACACATCCTTAATTGACAGGCTTTCCATTTCACATATAGTCCTTCCATGTTCATTCTCCTGTTATCTTGTTGTTCTAGAGTTTGATCTAGGTTGTTTTTTCTTCTTTCTTCCTATGTCCCTTATTCTTAGTGTTCTGCACAATGTGGGTTAGGACAACAAATGCGAACGGTGCAGTGCCTCTCATACACTGGACAAGCATCGAGTGAGTGTCCAGAAACTCTTCGACCTCCATCAATGCAACAGTGTGAAAGCAAATGCGACAGTACTCCCATTTCCAACACGGAAGGTAAGTCTGGCTTCTTTGTACATTCAATTCCTGAAAAGAATAGATCTTCATGAATAGTAGTAATGAATATTGTTTTTTGCTGAATTTTTTTGTATTCCCCTTTCCCACTTTACTCAATTAACAAATAATTCACAAGCTTTTTTCCCCTGCTATTTGACCAGTTCTGATCTGGAGATGACAAATATTGGTCTCCCACAGCAGACTTCATTAAAAAGTTATTTAACATTACCTACTAAAAAAGCTTATTTTTCCTCTATTGTAAATAGAAGGAGTTACTGAGCAGTCTCAGATACCATAGCATGGTAACTGTTGGTTTTATGGAAATTTTGATATTTAAAGTCCAAGTGTAAAACAGTCTCACTGATTTTCATGATGCCATATGGCTAAAGTGCATTTCACAGTTTCATGTACTTTTAATGCATTTTTTCTATGGCATTGTCTAACTTACTGACAAAGACAGGGTTGTTGGGGCAGAGACCATGGGTGAATGCCTACCTTCATTAATCCTACAGAATTTTGTCATTGACTTGAAAATATAAAACAAAGATGCAAATTATTTTAAAAAATTAAATGTCTTTGCTAATTTTAAAACAGTGAGACAAAACTTTATATGGTATAATATAGGAACAACATTAAAAAAAATTACATTTTTCCCTTTAAAAAGCTACGTTTTGTAGTGCTAGAGTGATTTCATTCTTACCACTCCTATTTAGCAATTGCATGAACGCATTAGAATCATTTTGCTCCAAAGATTTTTCAGTATCTTTGTTGATATAATATAGACTGGGGGTGTCACTCTGTGCCCTGAACCGTTTCTGGACCATGGGGCTCCTTCTGGGCTAGATCTGGAGCTGGTAGCAGCAGAACAAGTGGCAGAAGCAATGCTGGCAGGGGCAGTGGCTATGGCAGTGGGGCCAGAGATGGACCATGAGGCAGCAGGACAATCAGGGATGCATAGGCACAGTCCTCACTTGACCCCATGCTGCCAATGACCTTCCTGCCAATCAGTTGTTAGCCTCTCAAAAAAATTTAACAAAACCTAGAGATGCAAGGATGATTAAAAAAAATAAAACATAAGTCTTAAATTCAGTGTAATCTCTATCATTTGAGTATGTTAAAATAGAACCATAAAAAGTACAGAAAGACACTTTTAAAATGTTATCTCTAGATCCCTGGGCTTTAATGCTTGTTTTGGAATAATTACAATATTCTTATAATTACTTTTACTCTAATTTAGTCATATGTTCTCTTAGCCTTAGCTTCAGTTTAATTTACATTTTGTCAGGGAACATATTATGTGCTGGGAGGAAAGTACTGCTTATTAAGATTGCTGAACGCTTCCCATTATTGCACCCAATTTCCCATTGCTTTAGCAGATCTTAAATGACTGCAGTTTGCCTTGGTATGTGTCAGTCTGTATTATTTTTAAGTTTTCAGTGAAAAAGGTGAAGCCATTTCTGAGAATGAGATCAGGGAATTGCATGTTGTTTTTTTAAGTTAAAAGTTCTGGAAAGTTAAAAAGTCCTGGCAACCTCTTTCTGAAAAGTAGTGGTAGCCTCAGGGGGTGAAGCAGGAGCTTGATATTTAGCAGAGAAGTGGCATTTGTATTAGGCCTGTTCCTTTTGCCATTTTTGTGAATACCTACCCAAATTTGGCTGAATTATAATCTTTTGAAACATCGCAGTTTGCACATGCTCACTGGAGGCTTCTTCGGTTTTAGCAGATAGATTCCATTATCATTGAAGCATGCTCCAGTCCAAGGCCAAACAAAACCTTCTCTTCAATTGTAGCTTCAGGCTCTTGTGGACTGTGTCAGATGCTGATCAGAAAATGTGAAAAATAAGAATGCCTTTCCTGTGTTCTCAATCATTCCCTCCCCCACTATGGGCCCATGGGCAACTGGTGCCTCCCCTCTGGTGTCTGGGGGGGCACCAGATCACCGACCGGGGTGGGGGGTCCCCCAGTGGCTGATCATTGAGGCCAGAACCACCAGTGGTAAAACCAGAAGTGCACTTTCACCAGCACTTCCAGTTTCATGACTGGCACTTCCGGGAGGTGCACGGCCAATCTCACGCCCCCTTATGTAGCCCCTATGCACCTCCAATGTCCTGGACTATCTCAGGCCTCCTCTACATGTGCAAATAAAGGCATAATGGCAGGTTGCATGATTGTGGCATCACACATTAGATTCTATCATACCTTATTGCTGGTGCAGGGGGCTCCTGGGCTCCCCCTGCACCAGTAAAAGTAAGCTCCCACAGTTGGAAACCCCATGCACAGCAGCTGAGGAGCTCCCTGCAAAGAGCCACCTGTATGATCAGAGACTGGCACAGCAAGTCATACAAGAAAAGGCTGAGGGACCTGGGATTCTTTAGCTTGAAAAACAGAAAGCTGAGAGGGGACTTGGTAGCAGCTTACTCCTACATTAGGGGAGTACATCAAGGGCTCAGTAAACAGCTGTTCACCAGGGCACCCTTGAGGAAAACCAGTAGTAATGGTCACAGGGGCGAAGTGTAGGCAGTGCATAGGAGTGCATGTGCACCCCCTGAGTGCTGCAGTTCACCCCCTGTCAGGCCGTGCTCCCTGTTTTGCGAGTGGGCAGGGGGCAGGTGGGAGCACCAGTGCCCCCCCCCCGCGAGTGCTGGCCAGGGAGCAGGGCCACAAGCAAAAGTGGCCACACCACTTCTGGAACTGGCTGCGGGAGTTCCAGAAGCAGTGCGGCTGCTTTTATGGTGAGTGAGATCGTCTGTGGGGACCACCCCCTCCAGTCAGCAGGATCAGCCACCAGGGGACTCTGCTGGTCACTGTCTGGTGTCAACTGGACACAAGGCACCTATGAATGGCCACAAACTCCTGGAAGCCCGTTTCAGACTCAACATTAGGAAAGACTTCTTCACAGTCAGGGTGTCCAGACTGTGGAATAAGCTCCCTCTAGAGGTGATGCAGTCACCTCTGGAAATCTTCAAGAGGAGACTGGACAGTCACTTTCTGGGGTCACTTGATCCCAGTTGTCTTTCCTGCCTGGTGCAGGGGGCTGGACCTGATGATCGTCTGAGGTCCCTTCCAGCCTTACAATCTACGAATCTATGAAAACCCTGCTACACATGCAAATTAACATTCCACAGTAACCAGTTATAAAGTTAGTAAACATTTTTTGAGGTCTTACTTTATAACTGGTTGGCTTTTTATTGTGCAATAACTACTTTGCATGTGTAGCTGGTATCCAGGTAATTGCTCAATTAACTAGTTAATTGTGCAATAACTGTAATGTGTAGAGGGAGCCTTAGTGTATACTTTTGACTTGTACAGACTACATTGAGAAAAAGAGCTTGGAAGAGGGCAGAAACTAGGACTGGAGGGTGGCAAAGGAAGGGCATGGACACTTAGAGTGAGAGTTGGGATTGGGTGGAGGTTGTGTGTGGTTAAGCAAAAACAATGGAAGCTAGGAATCAGAGGTGAAAACTGGGACTGACTGCACAAGGAGGCCGGGACTAGCAGCTGAGGAAACTGGGATCTAAGAGGAGAGTGGAGATAAGGGAAACCAGGGACCAGATGGGCAAAGGGCAGGTGGCAGAGGGGAGCTAGCAAGAAGGAAGGAAAAAAGACCTGATGAACACCTGTGATGAGAGGGGAGAGAGGGAATGGGCTGTATGAATAAACAGGAGCTAGGAGCAGGAAATGAGGACACTTGGGAACTTGGAACTGAACTTGGGAACTTGGAACTAGCATAAGGAACTTGGGAAAAGAGACTGGAACCTGGACCTATTGAGGATGGTGAATGGGATTGAGATGATTGGGGAAACCACACAGTGGGGGACAAACAGGTCAGATAAGTAGTTAGTAAATGGGGAACTGGAAATGATGGGAAGGACTTTAGGACTGTGAGATCACATTGGGAGGAACTGGGGAGTCCAAAAATTAGATGATGACCTCCTTAGAAAGGAGACTGTGATAAAAAGCTTGAGGAGATGAAACTGGGATGAGCTAAGTAAAGAGAATTAGAATAGATAAAAAGCTTGGGATGGGGAAAGACAGAATAGGGACAGTTGGGGTGGGGAAGGGATCTGGTTTGATAAAGCTCTTGTCTCCACATGGAACATTATAGGGTTTTCTTAGCATTTTATTTCATGATCATGTTCTTAACATAGGATCCCTGCTACATCAATGCACAGAATTATCCTATTCTGAGGATGAATCAAGGTTCCTTAGAGATTATCAGCTATAGCAGAGGCAGGCGATTATTTTGATTGGAGGGCCGATTACCAAGTTTTGGTAAGCTGTTGAGGGCCACATGGGTAGCCCCGCCCCTAGACAGGTTCTTTGCCTTCTTGGGACTGGAAGTCCTGCCCCCTAACCCCTAACCTTTGCCACCAAAATTCCTTCCCCTTGCCCTCAGAAGTACTTCTTTCAGAAAGGAGGTTTGCCATCTCGGAACCAGAAAAATACCAAATTATAGTAAAAAAAAATCAAACATCTACTACAACATTCATTAATTTGATTTCAAAAAATATTTTTTTTCTTCATTTACGTGTGTTTGTGTACTGTACATAGAGGTGATTATATAATAGCTTAAATGAATACTTACTCTTGTATAATGTGGGGGGAGTGTAGGGGATATGGGTGGGTGGGTATAGGTTTGTGGGGGGCTGTGGGTGTATGGGTACGTGTGCATGTGGGGTGTGGGGGGTTTGTGGGAGGAGTTGATAGGTGTGGGGTTTGGGTGTATATGGGGCTTGGGGGTGTGTAAGCACATAGGTGGGGGAGCATGTGGCTGTGTGTGTGGATATGGGTGTGGGTAGGTATGGGGTTTGTGGGGGCATGTGAGTGTGTGTGGAGAGGGTGGACAGGAGGGTTGTGGCTTGTGTGGAGGGGGAGGGTGGCTAGGATGTGTGAGGGGGTGTGGGGTGTGCATGGGGGGTGTGGATCCCCACAGTCCCTGCAACCAGTGGCAGCACTGGGCCGTGAGGCCTCAGGGTGCTCAAGTGGAGCCCCTGCCACTG